AGGAGACAGAGTATCCGCGATGGACGACGCAGTGCACCACGTGCAGGTTCCTGACGCTGTGAGGTGGCCAGCCGGCAGCCCGGCCTCCCTGGCGCGAATTCGGCTTCCAGAGAGCCTAGGAATTGGCCGAGCTACGCGCTCGGCCTTGTACTTCGGGTGGCACCAGCCTGCACACCGACACCGGCCCCGGCCAAGCGGATCCTGAGCCCAGGATCGGTGCACCTTAGGACTACACGTGGGAAAAAAAACAAAAAAAACAAAAAAAACAATCAACAACAACAAACACAAAACACAACAAACACAAAAAAACACCCGAGTGGCCTTTTGCCGGAGTGACCTGCGGTGCGGGCGGACCCCCCGATCGCGGAACGATATGCGACAGCAGCGGCTTTTGCGCGCTCGGCTTTGGCCTCCTCTCGGGGGAGCGTAAGACCCGGGTTTGCCAGGACTCGGGTTCGCCATCGTTTTTTGACGACCGCGCCTCGGATTTTGACGAGGAAGAGTTTCGTGGGATGTCTGCAGCGGGAGGCCTCGTCAAAATGCAGGTTCGGCCTCGTCATTTTTTTGACGACCTCGTCGGGGATTTCCGAGTCCCCTGCACCCAGGTCTTACGTCCCCCTGATCCTCGCGCTTCCCCGAGGGCCGCGCACCGAAGGCCCTTCCTGCCTGGGGTCACTCGCGCGTGGCCGAACATTGGCCGCCCTGGCCAGGCCAGGCAGGGCACGCACGCCGCTCCCAGGCCCGGCGTGGAGCCTGGCCAGGATCGGTGCTCGGCGTATTTCGGGCATGGGATCGACTACAGAATTGATTCACCCCGGAAATCAATTTCTCGTCGAGTCTGCGGAAAATGCTTAGAACTCTCGGTCGATTTGCAAACACTCCGCGCATCCGTCCTAGCTTCCAGATTCTGGGGTAAATCAATCCTGTAGTCGATCTCCTACTCGATGTTTGCTGGCGCTCACCCCACAGTATTGTAGAGGGGGGAGGGGCAGTCTCTTGGCTGGCAGGGCTGTCTTGACTGGCCGCCTTCTGCCGAGCGCCCCGCGCGGCCTCCTCCTCCTCCTCCTCCTCCTCCTCCTCCTCCTTCTCCTCCTCCTCCTCCTCCTCCTCCTCCTCCTCCTCCTCCTCATCCTTCTCCTTCTCCTCCTCCTCCTCCTCCTCCTCCTCCTCCTCATCCTCATCCTTCTCCTCGTCCCCTCCCTCTCACATCCCTCCCTCCCGCCCTCCCGCTCAGATCCCTTCCTTCCTCCCTCTCTGCAGAGACCGCGGCGCTGCTCGGCAGCACGCATGTACGGCATGGGCCCGCGCCGTGCCGCAATTCGATCCGGTCCGTGCGCCCGCGTCTCGTTGTCTTACCTGGCGCCCGCGTCTCGTTGTCTTACCTGCCGCGGCTCGCGCCAGGTCGTCGCGGCACTCGAATCGTGTACAGAATTGGCGCCAGGCAGGACCACAGAATTCTGAAGCGTCGCGATTTGTCCCACGTTCGATCGCGCCTCTCCTCCCTCCGCCACTCCCTGGTTCCATCGCTCTTCTCCATTCTCCTCTCTCCTTCCCTGCCCTCCCTCCCAACACCTTCCTTGTCGTTCGCAATCCTTCCTCCTCCTCCCCCTCCCCCTCCCCCTCCCCCTCCTCCTTCTCCTCCTCCTCCTCCTCCTCCTCCTCCTCCTCCTGCCGCCCCTCCCTCGGATGTAACGCTGAATATCCCCCTCTTCTGCCTCCCATCATCCTGCTCATCCTGCTCATCACCATCATCATCATCATCATCATCATCATCATCATCATCATCATCATCATCATCATCATCATCAACATCATCATCATCATCAGCATCATCAGCATCAGCATCAGCATCAGCATCATCATCATCATCATCATCACCATCATCATCATCATCAGCATCGTCATCAGCAGCATAATCAGCATCATCACCATCACCATCTTCATCACCATCACCATCACCATCATCATCATCATCATCATCATCATCATCATCATCATCATCATCATCATCATCGTCATCGTCATCGTCATCGTCATCATCAGCATCAGCAGCATCAGCATCACCATCATCATCACCACCACCGTTACCATCACCATCATCAGCAGCATCATCATCATCGTCGTCATCATCGTCATCGTCATCGTCATCGTCATCGTCGTCATCATCAGCATCAACAGCATCGTCATCATCATCATCATCATCATCACCATCATCATCACCATCATCTACATCATCAGCATCATCACCATCACCATCAGCATCATCATCACCACCATGATCATCACCACCATCATGATGTTACACATCTCACTCCCCCTCCTCCATCCCTCCATCCCTCCTCCTCCTCCTTCCCCTCATCCTCCTCCTTCTCCTTCCCGCTGCTGGGCACTTGCCATTGGGACGATTCCTCGGCGTCGGCCTTCGGGACGAAAACCAGGGCAGGAGGAGAAGGAGGAGTATCAGAAGGAGGAGGAGGAGGAGGAGGAGGAGGAGGAGGGGAGGAGGAAGAGGAGGAGGAGAAGGCGGCAAGAGGGAAGGGGAAGAGAAATTGGGCCATACTCCCCATGTTGCCGAAGTGCGGCGCGTCGATCAGCCGCCAGCGGCCGCTCGCCTGGCCGACGGCCTGGGGCTCCTACTTCGGCGGGCGAGCATCGACGAGGGCCGTGGGCAGCGCGAAGATCGCTCCACAGAGGTCGACCCTCCGCACCTCCGCGCCTGCTGTCGCTCGTCTCGGCGGGCGCCGCGTCGACGACGGCGGCCTGGCCGAAGTCCGCAGTCGCAGAAGAAGAACCGCATGAGCACAAACGTTCGGATGTCCGCGCAGCTCTCTTTGATCGGCCTGTGTGGCCCGCCCAGCGCGGCGCCTGCGGCGCCCTCCCCGCGCAGGCGAGGGGGATCCAGCGCCCGTGCAGGAAGCCTGCGCGGACCTTCGAACGCTTGTGCTCACGTCGCCTCATGCTCCTCCGGAGCTCCCAGCCCTCGTGCCACTCCCTGCCGGGCTCGGCCTCGCCCCCGTCGTGCTCGCCGCACGGTCCCGCTCTCGGAGTCGCTCTCCCGGGGGGCCGCGCGCGCGCCGCGGAGGTCCCGCGCAGCTATCGCCGCAGCCCTCGCCGCAGTCGCCGCAGCCCGCTCCTCGCAGAGCTCGCCACTGCGCCGTTGCCGCACGCGTCGCGGCGGATGCGCTCCATGCGAGGCCCAGCGGTGCGCCAGCGGCCGTCGGCCCGGCGCCAGCCCCACTCATCGGGCGAGGCCACTGCCGCTGCCGCACGAGCTGCTGCCGTCTCGCGCTCGGCCGCGGCGGCGGCCGCGGAGGCACTTGGGTCCCCGCGCCAGGCGCTTGGCCGGCCCAGCGTCGCAGCGGCAACCAGAGCGGCGGCGAGGAAGGTTGCGGGCGCGTCCTAGCGCAGCACCACGCCGCAGCCCCCTCGCTGCCACTGCCGCCGCCCGCTGCCACTGCCGCCGCCTCTCGCACACTGACTCTCTTTCCAGCTTGCTGAGGATGAAGTCAAGGCTCCGTTCTTAGCCCCGCCGTCTGCTGCCACTGCCGACGCCTCTTGCGCTCCTGGTTCCAGCGAGTAGCTAAAGACGCATGGGACCCTCGTGTAGCACCACAGGCTGCGGCCACTGCTGCCGCTTCTCGCACACCGTGGTCCCACTTTGTAGCTCGTGACATATATGATCCGCCTTTGGCCCCACTGTCCGCTGCCGCTGCATCTGCTTCTCGCACAGGTTGGCCCCAGCTTGCGGCGAATGACGTCTGGTATCTTACTGTAGCACCATCGACTGCTGACGCTGTCGCCGCTTCTCGCCCACGCTGTCCTCAGCGTGTAGCTAGTGACGTCCTGGAACCATACTTCACCCCGCCGTTGGCTGCCACTGCCGGCGCTTCTCGTACACACGAAATCCAGCTAGCAGCAGGTGACGTCGGCATTCCGTTGTTAGCACCACCGTCTGCTCCTCCTCCCTCCTGTTCCTCCTCCCTCCTGGTTCTCCTCCCTCCTCCTCCTTCCTCCTCCCTGGTTCTCCTGCTCCCTCCTCCTTCCTCCCTCCTGCTCCCTCCTGCTCCCTCCTCCTCCTCTCCCTTCTCCTCCCATTTCCCTCCTCCTCCCTCCTCCTCCTGCCTCCTCCTCCTCCTCCTACTCCTCCTCCTCCTCCTCGTCGTCCTCCTCCTCCTCCTCCTCCCTGGCTCTCGCCCCTCCTCGCTCACACGGATGGCCGTCGTCCGAGTCCACCTCCCCGGCCTCGGGCCGCGGACGCCACATCGGTTCCCGTCCCCGGTGGCGAGAATCCGCAGGAAGCACTCAGCCGCGTCCACGAGAGAGGTGCGACGGAGGAGCTGGAGAAGGAGCGAGGAGCGAGGAGGAGGAGGAGGAGGAGATGAAGGAGCGAGGAGCGAGGAGCGAGGAGGAGGAGGAGGAGGAGGAGGAGGATCGAGGAGGAGGAGGAGGAGGAGGAGGATCGAGGAGGAGGAGGAGGAGGAGGAGGAGGAGGAGGATCGAGGAGGATCGAGGAGGAGGAGGAGGAGATGAGGGATGAGGAAGAGGAGGAGCGAGGAGGAGAAGAACGCTCGAACCGCCTGCTGCTGCCCATGGATCCCTTCCTCCGACTCGCTCATGCTCTCATCCCTCCACCGCTTCCGCTCCCCCCATGCGCCTCTTCCCTCCTCCCGACTGGAGAGGAGGTGGTGGGGGGACGAGAGGATGAGTCTTTGTCTCCTCCCCTCACCTCCTTATTGCTGCTTGTTCTCCCTCCTCCCCCTCACTCACTCCTCTTCCTCCTTCCTCGCCCTCTTTATCTAGTGGGTTCCCCTTATTTGTTTGGGTCTCTGGACTGGGAACTCACCTCCTATAGCCGTCACGTCCCACCTCCTCATGTTGCTGCTCCTCATCCTCTTCCTCCTTCTCCGCCTCCGATATCATCGTCCCCGCCCTTTATCCCCCTCATCCTCTTCCGCCTCCTTCCTCCCTCTTGCCTTCATTCCGTGTACCTTGCCTCTGTTTCAGGCAGAGGCGGATGATGATGAGGAGTGAGGACGAGGAGGATGAGGAGGAGGAGGAGGAGGAGGAGGAGGAGGAGGAGGAGGAGTGAGAGGAACATGATGATGTGGACGGTGAAGGGATAGGAACAGGAGGAGTCAGTGCAGTTCATCTGGGTCTTGGGACCAGGGCATACAACGTGCAGTCCACGGTCTCCACCCAATCATCCCCCTCAACCCCTTCCCATCATCCATCTTCTCTGCTTCCTCCTCCTTCGCCCCATCCACCGAATTCGCAGTTCAAGGCCAGGGTTGCAGTTCTGGATGCGACACTTACGGTTTCAAGCAGTGTCCAGAAGCTTCGTGCGCCTCCTGTGGAAGAGAACGCCGTCTCACTTCCCATTCACACATCCCGCATTCCATCCTAATCCACGCCCTCCTCCCACCTTCCCCTTCCCCTCCCGCGCCTCCTGCACTTTCCACTCCCGATTGATTCTGCCGTGGATGTCTCCATGGGTAGCCCCTCGCAGATCCAGCAGGCCTCACAGTGCAGTGAGCCGGTTGATCCCTCCTTCCTTCCCTACGCCGCCCCCCGATGCCCCCCTCCACCCCTCCCGCCCCCAGCCCCCTCCCCCACTTCCCTCCCCTCTCCCCACCTCCCCCTTCTGCTCCCGCCCCTCCCTCATGCCCCTCCCTGCTGCATCCTGCTGTGTGCGCATCGCTCTGCAACTCATCCCCTCCCCTCACCCCCCCGCCGCCCCTGCCCCCCTGCGTCGCACACGCGGCCGCGGCCTGGGCGAGGAGCGGGCGAAGGCTGCAGCAGGTGCGGCGCCCCCCCCCCCCACGCCCCTCCAGACGTGGTCGCGCCGTGACGAGATCACGACGGCGGCGGGTGCCTCCGTGGTTCTCCCCCGCCGGGGGCCCTGGCCGAGCGCCGGGACCGCCAACAAGACGGCGCGCGGTGAAGGGCCGGCCATGGGGAGAGAGCCGGCACCTCCGGGGACCACGCGCTGGAACAATCAAGACATCGCACGCCTGAGGGGATCCCTTCGCCGCTCCGCGGCGGCCAAGGGAAATATCATCCCTCCTCCTCCTCCTCCTCCTCCTCCTCCTCCTCCTCCTCCTCCTCCTCCTCCTCCTCCTCCTCCTCCTCCTCCTCCTCCCTTGGAGGCGCCTGCCGCTGGCAAGCCTGCTGCCGAGGGCCCCGCGGCCGGGGTCCCCGTAGCGCCCGCGGCCGGGCCGCCCACCCGCCGCGGCTGCGCCGCCTGCCGCCTCTGCCTCTGGCAGCCTGCAGGAGGCCCCCGCCCAGTCGCAGCCCGCGGCCCCAGCCTGCACAGGGGCGTCGGCCGTGGACGCCCCGGAGGCGGGCCGCCAGCGCCTGGCTGCGAACGCCGCCCGCAAGGCCGCCGCAGCAGGCAGAGGGCGAGGGGCGAAGGGCGCGCGCGGTGGCGCTGCCAGCGCTGCACGGCGAGCCGCGGACGTCCCTGTGGCGACCGGTGATGGCAAGTTGGGCCTTTGACAGCAGGCCTGAATCTGCCGCGAGTGACAGGGGCCAGCAGGCTGGCCCCTCCCCTGCGCCTGACGCGCAGCGGCGGAAGCGCACGCGACGGGGCCGCCTGCGCGGCCAGGGCAAGGCGCCAGGGAACTGCATCCAGTGGGAGTTGGAGTCGACGTACTCGGCTAGGGGGTTATGAGTTCAAGGATGCGGCCCCTGCGCGGCACGTGGCCCTGGCACACCTGGACGACCTGCAGCGCGGCCTGAGGTCCTACACAGGTCGCTGGCTGCAGGATCCCATGACCGATGATGATGATGATGATGATGATGATGATGATGATGATGATGATGATGATGATGATGATGATGATGATGATGATGATGATGATGATGATGATGATGATGATGATGATGTTGCTGATGGCTTGCACTGGCGTCAGCAATGCGTCCCTTTCGTCGCGCGCTACCTCGAGCACCCACACATCAACGTGCTGGTCCGGGAGCGTGCGCAGCGAGACGGCCACGCCAACACTGGCACGGCGCGGATCGACATGGCGATCGAGATCTGCTCAGCTGCCTTCCGCCGCCGTTGCGCTGCCCGCCAACGATATCGGCAGGGGCTGGACCGCATGCGGGTGGACGGCCCCGAGGCGTGGCTCCACGAGCTGCTAGAGTACTTCCTCGCGCCGCAGCAGGTGTCAGACGCCTTCGACAACGGGCACGGCATCACGTGGACCTCCCAGGACTCGGCGGCAGACCACGGCATGGCTCACCTGGCGGGCGACCACGGCGGCATCCTCCTTCGGCGTCCTCGAGCCTGCAGACCTGCCGTCTGCAGGCTGGGAGGCGGCCGATGGCCTGGTCCCTTCCCAACGGACCATGCCCCCCCACGGTGCCACCCCCAATGTCGTCAACGGGGGTGGCCCTCGAAGTGGGTACGGGCCATGTCCTTCGTCTTCAGGTGCGTCGCGCGGCACGTCGGCCAGGTCGGTTCTACGTCGGGCACCACCTGGACTGGATCCTCCTGCTCGCGGTTCCCTTCGGCCAGAGGCTCGGGGAGCTCATGGCGCCGGTGGCGGCCGAGCCGAGGGTCCATCCGTGAGGGGCGGGGGCCATAGTGGGCGTTCCGAGAAGAACTCGCGAAGCCCCCGCTCCAAAGCGGCACTCGCCGATGCGAGGTCGTCGGGGCCGCGCGATGAGGTTGCCGTTCCACCTCGTGAACTGCTTCGGCCAGAGGCTCGCGATGCACAGGGCGCTGCGTGCTGGGGCGGAGCTGGTGGCGCGGCTGTGGAGCGGCCCCGCGGCGCGCGGGCCCCCCGCCACGGCGCGCGCGACGGCTTCGACCGCTCCGGCGGTGACGGGGGCGCTGGGGAGCGGCCCTGCGGCGCGTGGGCCCCCCGCCGAATGGCGCGGCGGAAGGCTGGGCGCCGCTCTGTCCACCTCGAGGCCACGACAATCAACGTGACCAGCTGGCCGTCGTGCCTGGCCCAGCTCGAGGAGGGCAGCGTGGACGAGTCAGTGCATGCCATCCTGATCCAGGAGCACCACCTCGCGGACGAGGGGGAGATAGCTGCTGCGGTGCGCGCTGCTGGGCGTGCAGGCTGGATGGCGGACCTCATCCCCGCGGTGGCCACGTCGAAGGGTGGCACCTCAGCGGGGTGGGGATCCTGGTTCGACCCTGGGCGCACCTTCAACGCGTTGGGTTCGCCGACGACCGCACCACGGTTCGGTGTTCAGCTCGCTTGGGCTTTTGGATGACGTCCATCGGAGCCCGTGAAGGCACGCTCTTGGCATCCGCGCACCTGTGCACCAGCCAGGACCTCACCGACCTCAACCTCGACCCGCGACCTGATCAGGGCACTGCACATGCCGTTCGCCAGAGGGGCTGACTGGAACACGACGCCTGCCGTGCTCGAGGAGGCGCACCTACTGCCGTCCATCGGGGCGCGCCTGGCGTGCTCGAGCCACGCCACCTGCGTCGCGCGTACCTCCGCCAGGGAGCTCGACTTTTTCTGCGTCGACGTGCTCTCGGATGTGCAGCACCTGCGCTGCTGCGACCGCTTCTCCGTGTGCACGCACAGGGCGGTGGTCCTCTGCCTGACGATGCGACCTCCTGGCGCCAGTCCTTCGGCTGCGCCGCCCGCAGCCTTCCCCTGCCGCGGCCCTATCGGGCCCCAGCTGCCTCCGCCCGATTGGCAGGACGTGATCGCGGATCTCCGCACGGTGGACACTGCGGCGGGGTTTGACGCCGCCTGCGGCCGCGTCCTCGACCGCAACGAGGACGAGCTGGCGAGGCACTTCGGCCTGGTGGAAGGCAGCGAGGCGAACCGCTACCGAGGCAGGGGCGAGGGCGCCCGCCTAGCCCAGGCGCAGCTCCACCGCCAGCGCGCACGGCGGCAGCCTACAGCTCGGGCTGACCCCTCCGAGCAGCACTGGAACTGGCTCGCCGAGCGGGTACGCGAGTAGCGAGTAGCAGACCCATGCTCGCCGCCTGCAGGCGCGGCCGCTGCGCTTCAAGCCACGCATCGCTGGGGCAGATGCGCAGCTCTGGCAGGCGCGGCGCCACTGGGTCCGCGAGCTGCAGTTCCTCCGGCAGACCGTCGTCGACGAGCTCCTGCGGGGCCTCCAGCGTGCTGCCAATTCTGCGGAGGGCCGTGCGTCGTACCGCAGGTACAAGGTCTGGCGCGGCCGGGGCGCGCGCGGCGACGGCGGGCGACGGCGTGCGCAAGGGCTTCCGCTGGATGCGCGGAGCTGCATCAGCCCGAGGCTGGGTTGCAGTCCGCGCAGCTGGTGGCCGACGCGGCCGCGAGGCCGTGGCGCGCGCTCTGGAGAGACGGCGCGGGGAGTGGAGCTGCGGCCTGGCCTGCGGAACTGGGGCCCCTGCCCACTCTGCCGACCGCAGACGAGCTTCGCCAGGTCGGCCACGCGCTCCCGCACATCACTGGCCTGGGATGCGACGCCTTCCGGTCACCCCCGGCACATGGCGGAGGAGGAGGAGGAGGACGAGGACGAGGACGAGGAGGAGGTGGAGGAGGAGGAGGAGGAGGAGGACGAGGAGGAGCAGGAGGAGGAAGAGGAGGAGGAGGAGGAGGAGGAGCCCCCCGAGACCCCTCGGCCCCCCCGGCCACGATCCCAAGAGGCGGGCGCCTGCTTCGTCGGCCGAGGGGTCGGCTTGAGAATCGCAAGGTCGGGAGCCCAGGCAAGGGCGCATCCTCCCCGTCCCTGTCCTCGCCGTCCCCAGACACCCAGATAACGAGCTCGGCCTGGGGGGCCATCTTTTCCCGGGGGTCGCTGTGTCGTCTTGGGCGCTTCTCTCCAGCCTGGGAGCTGGGGTGCTCGTCCTCTCTCCGCAGCGCCGCTGCGCGCTCCCTCTCCTCTCACTCCCGCATCCCAGTCCTGTCTCCCCGCCCACGTTCTCCGATGATCCATTCCGTCACCCCGTACACGTTTCGTGCCCCCCCCTGGAACTCCGTTTGGAACCTCACTTGGGCAAGTTCGCAGCGTCCCCCCGCCCAGTTCGGCACACTCCTTTACACAGAGCATTCCCCGCAGAGAGGTCTACCTACGGCCGAGTGGGCAAGTTCATGTAGCGCCCTCCCGCCGGCACACCCCTCTTCCAGATCGTGCCCAACGGGAAGCTCCACCTACGGCTATGTATAGCGTCCTCCAGCCCATCTCGGCGCACCAATCACACGGATCGTGCCCCACATGTAATCCAATCTGCCCTGGTCGTTTTACTCAAGTTTTCAACTCGGCGTCCCGTTTTTTGGTTGCGTGTCCAGGTCCCAACAAGCGCTAAACGAACGACGTTTTATCCAACAGCTACTTCGTTCAGGTCTGTCCTTTTCCATCGTCTGAGCCTGCTGCGGACGGCGGGGGGGCTACCAGACCTGTTTCGCACTGGTGTCACACCGGTGCCGGAGCGTTTTTGCAACCGCTCTCAGCTCTGCGCGCGGGAACTACCCTCAGCACCCGCCCCATGTTTGGAGGCCGTAGTAGTCTTGGAATATTTTCGTCCGCGTCGGTCTCCATAAGTCTCGGCCGCTTCACGGGGGGAAGTGCTTCGTCCCTGAGCCGCATTGCTGGTCCTGGGGCCCGAAGACGGGCTCCAGAGGCCTGGGCCTGACGACGGGCTCTTTCCTCGCGCCCCCCCCCCCACCGTGCGCCGGCGGAGGCAAGAGGGGCGGGAGGAGCAGGAGGAAGGGGAGAAGGAGGAGGAGGAGGAGGAGGAGAAGGAGGAGGAGGAGGAGGAGGAGGAGAAAGACGAGGAGGAGAAAGACGACGAGAAGGTCGGCATTGCAGGAGCTGGAGGGGCGGGACCGCCGCCGCTCTTTGGGCCCCGAGGGGCGGGGCACGCGCCTCCCCACGCCGACGCTCGCTGGACCTCATCCCCGCCGTGCGGGGGGGGGGCACCGGCCGCCCCGCACGACCAATGAAGAGCTGCAGCTTCGAGCGGCCCGCCAGGCCCTGCCGCGCCGCGCTGCACGGCCGCCGCCGCTGCCGCCGCCGCCGCCGCCGTCGTCGTCGTCGTCGTCGTCGTCGTCGTCATCGTCGTCGTCGTCGTCGTCGTCGTCGTCGTCGTCGTCGTCGTCGTCGTCGTTGGGTGGGGGGGGGGGCTGGCCGTGGAGCGGCCGCACGCTGCCGCCGCTGCCTGGCACCTGCCGCGCGGCCACGCGGCCAGCGCGGAGACGGAGGGAGCCGCAAGCTTGGTCCTCGCTCTGTCCGTACGGCCAGTCCGGATCGTCGTGCCGCCGTTCCTGACGTGGGCGTGCTTCGGCGTCTTCGCGCGGCCTGCACGTGCAGCAGCTTGCGGGGACGTGGCCGTCCCTCTCATTTTTCTTGCGCCTGACCTGTGCCGCCTCCCTGGCCTCGACTTCGGGCGGTGGGGTAGAGAATGGCCCTGCAGCGTACAAAAATACTCCTTCTCCCTCATGCCGTACGAGTCCCGCGCCGCCGCGCGCCGTTCGTGGTGGCCTGAGGCTGCGCTCGAGCCTTGCCGGCGGCGCTGCCTTGCGGCGAGCGAAGAGGCAAGATGGCCCAGATGGAGGGGAGCGGCCCACCAGCTCCTGCTGCCCCGTTCCTCCTGCTTGTCTGAGGCCTTCCTCGAAGGCCTCCTAAGGTCATAGTTATAGGAAGCACAGGCTCTGCTCAAGAAGCAGAGGTCACCCACCTGCTCCTCCTGCCCTGTCCCTCTCTTGCTGTCCTGGTGGTCCCACTTGGATGGTGGCGCAGACGCTCCAGGCAAGGACCAGCGTGCACAGCAAGCGCTCAGGACAGCCAGGGGCAGGCGCTCCGGGCAAGGGCTGGCGTGCACAGCAAGCGCCCAGGACAGTCAGGGGTCCGGCCTTGGGCAGGTTTCCAAGCGTGCGCTGCGCCGCGGGACATCACAGCAAGGCATAGGGGAGGTCAAGGACAACAACAGCCAGCGCAGCTCCTGACAAGACGGGAAACCATTGCACTGGGGGTCGGTGCAGCAATAGCGTCTCCTGCGCCTTCTGCCCCTGTGGCCTTCCTGCCTGATGTCCTGCGCAAAGTCCTCCTGCTCCTCCTGCTTCTTTTCGCTCCGCTGATCCGTCTCATCACGATCTTCCTTCTGCTCCTCCCTCTTCCCTCCATGCTTTTGCTCATCGTCCTCCTTCTCCTCCGTAGCCATTTGGGCTCAAGCCGCATCTGGGCCGCCTGCACTATGGCCACATCTGCAACCAGCGTGTCAACGTTGGTGCCTGCAGCAGCGACCCCAGCAGCACTATTCTCCAGTTGTGTCAAGAGTGTTGCTGGGAAGCTTGACCTGTGGCGCGTGTACCTGGACCAATGCCCCGAATGCGGATGTGTTCATGGTGGCGGTGTTGCTGGCACCGGAACGCGGCCAGAGCGCCACATCTACGAGTACACTCGCGGTGTCCCCGACGACTTGCTGTGCCCGCTGTGCGGCGAGGTATTCCAGGCTCCTGTAAAGATCCCTTGCGGCCACCACTACTGCAACATCTGCGTGCGAATGCTCCTCACACGCACTTCTGGCAAGGTCGCCTGTCCCCTTGACGGTCAGGCCATCACGCGGTTTGCCCTGCAGCCGGCTGGGCCTCAGGTGCTCGAGGGGGTGGGGAGTTTGTGGATCCGCTGCCCCGTCTGCAAGGAGGAGGTGAGGAAGTCTCAGCTGGACCTCCACCTGCAGGACCCCGTGTGCATGGTGGAGACGCCTGCGGCGTACGGGGCGATCCTGAGGCCTTTCTACTTGAGCTGCCCTTTGTCGACCTTCACCGTGGGTGAGCTCAATGGTTCCAGCTCCCTGATCAGATTCTACCGCCGGCTCGGGCCGGATGCATTGAAGCGCTTCGTGCTCACAATGGACTCCTTCATTGTGCTGCCAGATCCCAAGATGGGGTTCCAGCCGCACACCGAAGATGATGCCCAGGCGTTCAGGAGGAACGGAGGTTACTTTGTCGCGTGGTGGATTCACCCGAGCTTCCGTCCAGAGGTTTGGTGGCGGACGGGGGAGGACGGCGACGGCGACGGGGACACCGCGGGCTCGCCGGCGCCGCCGTCGCCTGCTTCCGGTGCCGGGTCCACAGGGGACGGTGCCGGCTTCTTGCGGGGGCACGACTGTTCGGCGGAGCCGTGGCACGAGTCTTCTTTTGCCCACACGTGGTCCGCGGTCCGGAAGCCAGAGAGCCCGCGGTACATCTGTTGTTTGCGCGATCTTCGGGGGGAGGATCTGCCCATGCTGGAGGGCTTCAGGAAGGAGGTCCTGCGGTTCCTCAAGGATAACTTCCTCGCAGACGAGTCCCGCGTGTCGATCTTCTGCCACTACCCTGCCAGCGCTCGCTATTCGACGCTACACTTTCACATCATTTGGGAGGGGGAGCAACGCTTCCAGTTCGAAAAGTACGCACGCAAGCTGGAGCGGCCACACCAATTGAGCCGGCAGTTTTCGCTCGGGGAGATCATCCGACTCCTGCGGGCAGACCCCATGCATTTTGAGACCTGCACCCTGAGCTACTTCCTGGGGGACAAGGCCGACCTGATGGACCCCATTTCGGCCTTCTTCGGGTGCTCGCCACACAAGTACCTCCGCGACTTCACCTTCCACTGGGATCCCTGCGCGGTGGCCTCCCACCAGGCCGTGCAGGCGACGGGCGCGGCGTCGCTGCGGGATGGCCCCGACCCGCGCGGCGGCACCGGCTTGGGCGCCGCCGCCACCCTCGAGGGAGGCGTGGTCGCCGCGGGCAGTGGCGGCGCGATGCTGCCCGGCGCCGAGGAGCGGCTGTCCCTGCAGCTCGGCGAGCTCGCGCGTGCGCTCGAGGGCGTGCGGAAGACGGTCGAGGCCCTCGCGGCGGCCTCGGAGGAGCAGGCGCGGGGCCAGCGCTGGGAGCAGAGCGGAGCCTACAAGCTGGCCATCTCCACGCCCGGGGGCCTGGCCCACGCCCGCTGATCCTCGGGGAAAGAAAACAGGTACCCATACGTACCGTTACCCTTCCGTCGTTGACACGACGGGATCCGCCTCGACGTGCTGGTCCGCGGAGTAGCGGTGTGGGTGTCTTGTCGTCCCCCCCAGGGGACCCCGCGGGGGGCGCTGGGTGTGGCCAGACATCGAGCACCCCCGCCAGCGGGGGGCGGGAAGACGGTGCCCGTGCGCAGTGCCCGACGAGGCCCTCGCGGGGGGGGGGCACGCAGACATCCGACGAGCTGTGCGTTTTGTTCCGCTTCCGACGGTCCCGGGGCCCGACGGCGGGCCCCCGAGGCCGAGATCGACGAGACGCCGCCCCGGTCTGTCAAGAACCGTGCCGTCGGAGATCTTGGGGAGCAGGAGGAGGAGGAGGAGGAGGAGGAGGAGGAGGAGGAGCAGGAGCAGGAGGAAAGGAGGGAAGAGTAGTAGCAGAAGGGGAGGGAGCTGGAGAGCAGTCACCGCCCATTGGAGAGGAGGAGAGAGGAGGAGGAGGGATGAATGATGGAGGAGGGGGAAGGAGGAGTAGGAGGCCGAGGAAGTGGGGGCACGGAGAGGAGGGGGAGAGATGGCGGCGCACAGGAAGGTTGAGGATTTCAACATACCGCTCCACTCGTGTGAGTAGAGGAGGAGGGAGGAGAGAAGAGTACGGAGGAGAAGGGGAGGAGAGAGAAGAGGAGGAGGAGGAGGATGATGATGATAATTAGGAGGAGGAGGAAAGGGAGGAGATAGGGTATGAAGGAGACCGAATGATGATGATGATATTAATGATGATGATGATGTGATGATGATGATATGATGATGATGATGATGACGATGAGAGAGGGGTGATGGGTGATGGTGATGTGCTGGTGATGGTGATGATGATGCTGATTGAGGATGATGATGAGGGGGGGATGAGGGAGATGAGGATGAGGATGAGGATGAGAGGAGGAGGAGTCGGAGGAGGAGAGGAGGAGGAGGAGGGAGGGAGGAGAGGAGGAGGAGGGATGAGGAGAAGGAGGAGGAGGAGGAGGAGCCGTCGGAGGAGGATGAGGACGAGAGGCAGGAGGAGGATATATAGAGGACGAAGAGGATGACGAGGACGATGATGATGATAATGATGATGCTGCTGCTGGTGATGATGATGCTGATGACGGTGCTGATGCTGACAATGATGATGCTGATGATGGTGATGGTGATGCTGATGCTGGTGCTGATGATTATGGTGATGATGATGATGATGATGGTGGTGATGATGATGATGATGATGATGATGACGATGTTGATACTGATGCTGATGCTGATGCTGATGATGAACATGCTGATGATGAACATGCTGATGCTGATGATGATGCTGATGAGGATGATGAGGATGATGAGGATGACGATGAGGATGAGGATGAGGATGAGGATGATGATGAGGATGAGGATGAGGATGAGGATGAGGATGAGGATGAGGGATGATGATGATGATGATGATGATGCTGATGTTGATGATGATGATGCTGATGATGATGATGATGATGATGATGGTGATGATGATGGTGATGATGGTGATGGTGATGGTGATGGTGATGGTGATGGTGATGAATATGATGCTGCTGATGATGATGAGGAGGACGATGATGCTGATGATGCTGATGATGCTGATGCTGCTGCTGATGATGCTGATGATGATGATGATGCTGATGATGATGAGGAGGAGGAGGAGGAGGAGAAACATGAGGAGAAGGAGGATGCGGAGGAGTCGAGGAGGAGGAGGAGGAGGAGGAGGAGGAGGA